CATGCCTGAGTTTAAAGAGACTTTTAAGAGGACATCCTACCACATGGCTGGCATACAAGGCTGTCTTGGCTCCCTTCAGCTGTGAATTAGGTTAACAGCCACCTCAAGCTTCTTAGAAACCTAGAAATCCCCAGGCAGTTAGAGAAATTCCATGGAGCTAAGAAAACCTTTGCAATCTCCGAGCTTTAACCAGAAAACGATATTTCCCAACATCTTCTTTTCTCCATCTGTGGGACTTTGTGTAATTTACTCCCAGCCTCGTAAAACATGGGTGCCCCATAATCAGTCCCTCCCAATGCACAAAACTCTTAATTCATGTCTCAGATCCTGTAGACCAGGAAATGAACAAGGAGCAAAGCCTTATTTTCACCTTGGAAATTACCAGGTTATTGTGCATGGAGTTTCTTCTAAAACCAAACTAATTCCTCTGCCCGATAGAGGGAACTTTGCTTGCTTTAAAGTTTACCAAAGTAGTCCCTTCTGAGTCTCAACTTCTCCTTTATGTGGAAGCAAAATTCCTTTGATCAGAGACCGGTCCAACAGAATGCCATCATCCTTACACTTGGGGCTTTTAAATGATTGTACTTGCTTCATCTGTGCTGTGGAAGGTACCCGATGCAAAACCTCTGAATCCCAGGGGGCCCTGGGGAGGAGGCTGACTCTAGGGAATTGGACTCCGCTTCTCCCACATTACAGAGGTTGCAAATCTACCCTCAAATATTCAACACATATGTTCTGAAATTCATTAAGTCCAAAAATTAAGAAACAAATTTTTAAAATCCAGCATTGATTCTTGTAAAAAGCAGATAGTCGAGAAATGCTTGTTGACTGTTTAATTTGTTAGCTGATAAATGTGAGAAATACAGTCTGCTATGTACCACCGGACAGCTGATGTTGCTAGGAAGACATTTGTCTCGTTTGCCATTATGCAAGTTTGAGAAAATGAATTAGCCAAACCCTGCCTGTGTTTGAAGAACAACCTTTCTCAAAAGGTCTTCTTAAAACTCTCCTCTTTATTATTTGGGGATGGGGAGGGCACAAATGTCACTTGGCTTTAAATTGTCTATTAACTTTTTATTATCTCCAAATAAATTCTCAAAGGGAAGAATTTTGTCATATTATGTATTTTCTTATATGTGGGGGGTGTCTTTCATAATCCAGGATTCTTGCTCAAAGCAAATACTAAGTAATTGTTGACCATGGACATTAGAAGTACAGTTTGGTTTGTATCATATGGCAGTTAAGCTTGGAATACACAAAAAGTACCATTCTCTGCTACTTTCCTATACTTAGAAGATATATTATTTTAGAAAAACTTTTTCTGTGATTTCAAGGTAGTTTTGGATACCAGTACTTAAATATTTATGCACTAAGATAAGAAGTACATAAATATTATTACCACATATATTGCAACATGGCTGTGATATTTTCTGTTGCTTGATGGAGACATTGGCTAATTCCTAATAGGCCTCATGACAGCTGTTTCTATAGTAGATGGAGCAGTCTTAATTATAATTACTTCATCTTTGTAGATGAAGTAATTAGTCTTTTCAGAGTAGAGTATTACCCCTTCCCCACGGTTCACTTTCTGTGTAGTTACTTACAGTCCTGTGGTCCCAAAATACTAATATTTGTCTTAACTCATTTTGAGGGGTGTGTGTGTGTGTGTGTTTGTGTGTGTGTGCGCGCGCATGCACGCATGTGCCTAAGAGAGAAAAGAGGGAGACTGCATTCACATAACTTTTATTAAGTATATTGTTATACTTATTTTATTATTAGTTACTGTTGTCAGTCTCTGACTGGACCTAATTTATGAATCAAACTATATCAAAGGTATATAAATGTGGAGAAAAGCACAGTATATAGTTTGGTATTATCTACAATTTCAAGTATCCACTGGGGGTCTTCAGATGAATCCCCCCAAGATAAGGGAAGATGTTGTACAAGATCTAGTCTATGATGCTTTTTGTACTGAAGGAAGGAAGAAAGAAAATTTTTAAAAAGTAAAAGAAGAAACTCTATTAAAGTGTCTACATATGTGATTTAACCATTTATTAATACAGATATGAACATATTAAAAATGTCAATATAGTATATTTAAAAGAAAAGAAAATCATCCCCAGAAATATAATTTGAGGATCTTTCTCTCATAAGACTTGGTTATCAATGACCCCTTTACCCAACTCTGACTTCCAAGTCTAAGAAAAACTCAGTCTTTCAAAATTAGAGACCTTCTAAGTAGCTCTGTAACTTAGTGACACCTTCAGTGGGGATGTTCTTCAAGAAGGAAGCCTAGGAGATGGGCATCTGTAGATGCTGGTTCTGGTCACAGCTAGGCCACTAGCTAGGCCACATCACTTAATGATTTTTGCCCTGGACTCTGCAGGTATCACCCCCCTCTGTGCATCACTCTATCAAGGTGGGGGCTGTTTATTTTATTTGCACAGGGCTGGCACTTGCATGATAAGTTCTCAATGCTTTTTTGCGGATTAAATGACTTACTATATCAGCTTTATGAAATCAACGCACAGTGCCACTTAGTGTATGAAGAACCTGAAGTGGGAAGAGAAGAAGGAATTATTTGAGGACTCGATAGAGTCTGACCCAAACTGCTGCCTCCTTGGCCAGCGTCTGTGTTGAGCAGCCCTTACTAGGGCACCACCCTCCTCATTATGTCTGAGGGCTATCTTCAAGGGTAAACTTTCCTTTCACTGGCAGGTTAAAGAAACTCTTTCGATCCCTTGAGACTTAGCTAAAAAGGCTAAACCATCAAGACCTATAAAATAGTGTTTCCCTGTGACCTTCTTTCTAAATCAGGAAATGGTTACTTAGGCCCCATAAAGCCAGCTCAGAACTCAACCTCCTCCTCCTTTATCAAGACTTCCTTGACTTGGAAAGTGGTTTCTATGACAAGAAGTGTGCCAACAGTTTTTACAGGCGCCAAAGCCTCCACCTCTTTCTTAAAGGAGACAGGACTTTTTCTTCTCCAGAACTTGATGATACGGTTAAACAAAAACCAACCCTTATCAAACAATGGTACATCACAGGTTCCTCAGAGTATTTTAGAAACCTTGCCATATCTTAGGTTTTTAACCTAATACATCAAACATGTGACATAATTGTTTACTATCAATCATCACATAAATATTCTACTCAAAGGTCAAAGATTTCTAAAGAGGTAGACAGTAAGCAGAGAGTAGCAAAAACTTACTACATATAACTTCTTAATTAAGTAAATGTATTATGTTTACAGCAGCCCACAGTTATAACAAGACCTGAAATAGCACATGACTCCCCAATCCAAAACCTGTGAAATTTACTACAATAGGATTCCACATATGCAATAATTTTACCAGATGAATCAAGAGAAATATTGGTACATATTGATCATTTTTACTGAATCCACACAGTGACAAAAATCAATGGAAAGAATTTGGAGAGAAACTAGTAGTAGATTAATTTCTCTATGATACAAATGGAAAAATTCCTGAATCTGGGTGGATGGGTAGATGGGGTACTTTGATAAATTAATATAAACATTTATAATGCTGCAGTTGAGATTACAATATTATCCAGGAAGCTGCCATGCATTCATATTAAATAAGATATTATATGTAAATCACACCACCCAATGTTTGGCATGTGACTTTGGTTTTGTTTTAGCTATAGTCACTGATTCCCACAGAGGCTCTTAGGAGGAAAGCTTATAATAAAATTATAAAATTGGATATCACCCCTGGTTTGACCATGTTTAACATTAGTGGAATTTATTTTGGATCTATGTTAGAGACGAATTTATTTCTATGTGAACCCCATAAACACAACTGTCAAATATGTCCTCTCCTCCATGCCCAGCCTACTGAAATGTCACTCATTCTGCAAGGCTTATCTTGAACACCACCTCCCCATTAGGTCTTTCTTGATCTCTCCTCGTAAGCAAACATTTTCTTGCTGTATCAAGCCTTAAAAACATTTGTTCTTGCCCCCCAGATGATACTTACCTGGCTCTGCCTGTTTTATTACTATCTCTTTGCTTTATCCCCTATTAGATTTTAAGGCCCTTGAAAAACAGGGATCAGCCTTATCTTTATATTTCCTACAGGCTGAGCACAGGGTGTTGAACTTAAGAAGCTCAATAAAAGTGTGTTGAGTTGCAGTGAATCGTGACCCTCCCTGGCTACCAGGCCCTCAGCCAGCTTTGGAGTGCAGGACACAATAGGTCCTTGTATTCACTGCTGTGCACACCCACAAACATACACTAAACACCTGCAAACACTGGGACACTCAGTTACTTGGCAAATACTTGCCCTCCCAGGGTGTCTTCCCTTTTGAAGAGTCTTCTCTGTCTGACAGCTGGCCTGCTGCTCCTTAGATGGGCACTCCCTGGAAAGGCCCATCTCTGCAGAAAATGGCCAAAAATCACCGCACCAGCAACCAAGGGAAGTGAAGGGGTGAAGAGTCAATGCCAGGAATGTGCTTTCAGGCTTAAAGATGAGAGGGAAACTGGGGAGCATTGCAAAGGGGGCAAATGTCCTTGCATTTGCACTGATGCCTCCTCCCTATCCCTTCCTGGTCCCTTCTCATGTCCTTCTTGACCCTTCCTTCTTCTTCCCCTGCACCCAATCCTCCACTGTCATTTGGTCTTGCAGAGCTTGGAATTCAATCTTAATCCCCAGGGAGGGGCATCCGCTCTGGGGAGGTCACGACTGTCTCCCACTTCCTCTGTGGGATGCTCTCACAAGATGCTGTGGTGGCAAAGCTTGCTGCTCTTTATTAAATACAAATTGTACTGACCAGTTTCCAGGAAATTTAGTGGAAAGTTGATTCCCCCCAAACCCTCAAGACATTTCCCAGATCCGGAGAGGATTATTATTATTGCTATTATTATTTACAAAGCCCACATCTTTAAAAAAAAAATTTTTTTTCTTAAAAGAACAAGGTAAAGCAAGTATAAGCCTGCAGCTTCCGGAATATGTGCTGACATCCTGCTTTCTTCACAGGAATAAAATAACCTGGCAATTCTGTTTGGATAGCAAGATAGAAGGAAATGGCCTCTTCTGGAAGTCCAGACAGGTTGCCAGATTTGGCAAATGAAAACATGGGATGCCTCATTGAACTTGAATTTCAGATAAGTAATGCAAAATGTTTCAGTGTAAGTATGTCCCATGCAGTAAGTTTCAGTGTAAGTATGTCCCATGAAAACAGTTGAACAGTTCAAATTTAACTGGTCATCCTTTATTTTACCAGGCAAACCTAATCCCAGAGAAAGTCAGGACAGTGAAGAGATTTCCACCAACAAAAGCTTCTTTTAAAGCCCTAGCTGAATGGCTTTGGACGACATTTCAACTCAGGCTCTACATTTTCCCTGGAGTGTGAGCTCGATGTCATAGAATAACAATTGGGAGAATGAACATTCAGTGAACATTCTGCCCCTTCCCTGCCCTCCACAGCCTGTGGCAAACTGCTCTCCCTCAACCAGCTGAGGAGTAAAAAAGTTTTCTCTTTAAAGATATTTTTCCCCTCCGCTTTCACTGTTTCTTGGATTTGCTGGATAACTGCTTTTGCTAATTGTTTGCAGACCATAGCCCAATTTGGCCTGCCAACTATGGAGGCATGGTGGTGGGCTTAAGTGATAAAGAGTAAGGGGATTAAATCAAGTAGTCCTGGTTTGGGATTCCAACTCTGCTACGTCCTGCCTGAGAAACATCAGATAAATTGCTTAACTTCTCTGGCCCTCAGTTTCTGCATCAGTAAAATGAGGGGCTCATGGAATTGCATGGAGTGACATAAGATTGAAGCAGGCAGTACTTGTCTCAGTATCTGGCACATAATTGATATTTTTTTTTTCTTGGTACTGGGATCAAACCCAGGGACACTCAGCCACTGAGCCACATCCCCAGCCCTTTTTATATTTTATTTAGAGACAAGATCTCTCTAAGTTGCTTTGTACCTTGCTAAGTTGCTAAGATTGGCTTTGAACTCCTGATCTTCCTGCCTTGGACTTCTGAGCTGCTGGGATTACAGGCATGTGCCCCCATACCCAGTGATACTCTTTTAATATTAGTCTGGTCAGACATGGTGGCAAACACCTGTAATCCCAGTGACTTGGGAGGCTGAAGCAGGAGGAACGCAAATTCAAAGCCAGCCTCAGCAATTCAGTGAGTCCCTAAGCAATTTAGCAAGACACTGTCTCAAAATTAAAAATAAAAAGGAAGGGATGTGGCTCAGTAGTAAAGCACCCCTGGGATCAATTCATGGTACCAAGGATATATATATACACACACAAACACATTATTTTTCTCTTTATTGTGTCACACATCACAGGTGACACTTAGAATTGAGTCTGTCTAAGTCTGAGACTTGGAAACACAGGAACACAGGTTCTAGAAGATGATTAAGTCCTTGGACTTAGGAAGGGATAGCTTGGTTGAAAGATGGCTCCATCACTCCCACTCCTGAGGACCTGGTCTTGTTCCGTCCTGCAGCAGCCTGGTGAGCTGACGACCTCCAAAGCCAGTCATCTGATTACCAATGGACTTGGATTAGGTCACCAAAAATTTACCCATAGTCAGAAGGCTACTTTAAGAAGTAGGAGGAAGCAGGAGAGAAGAAGGAGTGGATGGAGACAAAAGGAGAATGTCTGGACTGTGTGTTTATGGGAATCCTTGTCTACCTGGTCATGGAGGCCACATGTTTGGGGCAGTTGTCTGGGTGCCATTTTTCTGGTGATTGCTCGGGTTCCCTCCCCTCAAACCTCCTTTGGTGGTTCAGGTCAACTGAGACCCAGGAAATCTAGGCCTAAACCAATCAGATCATCAGATCCCCTTGACCAAGATATGGGTGGAGAGGTAGACACAAGATTCAAATGGAGCTAATCAACCCCCAGGCTTTATGTTATTTGGAGATACAGTCACAACTTGCCTCCCTGGCTCCTAGTACTTGATCTTGGAATCAGCCCATTCGTAGCTTCTGGCACTCTTTAGGCCAGTCTCAACTTGCTTATTTACCACCATTCAGGGGTTTCAGCCTTCAGCCCCTAGCAACCCTGACGTGCTTATTCCCAGTTGTATTACCTTACAGGGAAATTGTCACTGGCTGATTATGTACAAGTGATTACCTGGCCCTGTGCTGAGAATTTTACTCCACAAAGTAATCCAGCAAACCCATTTTACAGTTGATATGACTGAGACTCAGAGGTTGCCATAACAAAATCCTACAGACTGGGTGGCATAAGCAACAGAAACTTATTTTCTTATGGTTCCAGAGACCAGGAGTCAGAAATCAAGGTGCTGGCAGGGTTGCTTCTTCAAGACCTCACTCCTTGGCTTACAGATGGCTACCTTCTCAGTGTTGTCTTCATGTGACCTTTTGCCTATACAAAAATGTGTCTATGTCCTACTCTCTTCTTCCCTTAAGGAGCCCAGTCATAATATACTAGGGATCGCCAGTTCTGAGATTTGAACTTAATTTGAACTTAATTACCTCTTCAAGGACTTATCTCCAAATGTAGTCACATTCCATTGAAAGGTTAGGTCTTCAACATACAAATTTGAGGTACTGGGAGAGGGGACAAAATTTGGTCCACAGAGGTATAGTTAAGCCACTCACTCATTCCAGCTCATACAGCTACGTATACTGAGGAGCTAAGACTCATACTCAGGTCTGTGTGCCTCCCAAGTACAGAATTCTTTATTTCTTGTGATTCTATTTTCTCATCCCAGACAGACCCTCAGGAACCATCTGGCCAAACAACACCACTGCACCTGCTAGGCTAGGAACCACCAGACACACAAAAAGAGAAAGATGCTTGGCTATACCTTAATGAATGATCTAGGACAGACATGAAAGAAAGCAAAAACAAGAGCATAAATTATTATTATAAGAGCCACCATAATCATTTAGTAAATAGTAATTCCTTTCTCTCCCTTTGAACAAGGCCTATAGCAGCATATGAGAAGCAACATAAGAAAGAAATGAGGAAAACAGGAGCTGGTTGCAAAGGAGGATGAGATTGCAATCAGTGAGGGTGGGGTTGGCAGTTGGAGAAGGGGAAAGAGAGAAGGGAGATGGGACCCCCAAGGGTTTCCAAGATATGTTTGCACACAAGAATCCAAATGAAAGGAGGTGAGTCCTGGCTTTACCACCCCTAGGCTTTGTCATCATAGGCAACATACTTAGCCACGGTTTTCTCATTTTTCAAACGGGAAGACAGATGGAGCATGCCTAATCTGAAAATTCAGAAGCTGAAACTTTTTGAGTGCCTACATGAAGTCACAAGAGGAAAATTTCACACTTGACTGCATGTGATGGGTCACTGTCAAAACACAGGCAAACTAAAAATATCGTGGAAAATTACCTTTAGCTATGTGGTTAAATTGTATATGAAAAATAAATGAACTCCATGTTCAGAATTGAATCCCATCCCCAAGATATATATGAAAACCTTTCAAAATCTAAAAAATCCAAAATCCTGATCCTAAACATTTATAAAGGACACTCCAGTTATATGTATGACTTTCATAGATCTCTTGTGAGGAACAAATGGGATACTACTACTATTAGCTACTATTACCTAAGATGAAGATGTCTCAAGAAATGGGTAGAACTTTTGTAAAAAGGGAAAGGGAGGATAAATTGTAGGTAGAACTGAGATTCACAGTAGGACTGAGCTGAAAGAAGCACCTCAACTACTCACTATAATTAATAGTAAATTAATTTTTTTGCCCACTTGAGTTGGGGTACTCTACTGCTTATGTCCAGGGTATTCTGATACACTTCCATTAACTGTAATTGTTAAGTCAGAAGAACATCTGGTTTTCAGAGGCTATAAATTCATATCAGTTTAAAAGCACAAGTATAATCTAAGAGAAAGAAAGCAAAATTCTAGATCTGAAGAAAGTGTTAAATGGGTGGATTGATCGATTGATTGATTAATTGGGGAGTTGCATGCTCAGAGAGGAAGTCTGAAGTCAAAGGGGAAATGCATAGAGAATGCAGAAAAAAAGTCTTAGTTACCTGGACTCTACATTAGCAGGACGAAATGGAAATTAGTGAAGGAGACAGAGGTGGGGGGAAGCTAAAAATGCTTCAAATGCTGCCATGCAAACTAAGGTCAAGTTTCTGTCACTATAACAAATATCAGAGACAATCAAAAATAAGAGAGGTTTACTTTGGCTCACAGTTTGGAGGTTTCAACCTATGATCAATGGGTTCTGTGGCTTTTGGGCCTGTGGCAAGGCAGCACATTATGGTGGGGAGCAGGTGGTGGAGCAGACCATTCACCTCATGGCCTAGAAGTGAATTAAAGGAAGAGGAAGGGACTAGGGATCCCACGGTCCCCTTTGAGGCTGCACCTCTCAAAGACCTAAAGACCTCTCACTAGGCCCCACCTCTTAAAGTTTCCACATTCCCAACAGAGCCAAGGGTTAGACCAAGCCTTTAACACATGGGCTATGGAGGACATTAATCCAAACCATAGCATAGACCAAGAAGAGGATTCAAAAAGAAAGGTGTTAAAGTCTGCATCAGATTCCACAAAGAAACAAAGTAGGAAATTACAAAGATGTGGTTAGGTAGAGAAAACTACAAGGTCATCATAGGGAGAAGATTAAACAGAAACAAATATAGTTTTAGTGGAGTGGAGTAGTGGTAACAAAAGCCAGATATGAGATGTGAGTGGAAGAGAGCATTGAGCAGCATCGATGAAGTAATGGGACCTCCTTGCAGAAGGATGGTAGTTGTGGAAAACATCACTCTGTTTACCAGTATCTGGTCCTGCTCCTCTTGCGGTCACATAGAAGATGTTTCTTCTCAATGCATGTGCATTTTGGAAGAGCCATGTGGCAGTTCCTTAGTAAATTGTGAAGTGGGTCATTTTTCTGGGCTGAGATAGTAAAAAGTCCATGTCTATCCTTTTAATCTCTCTTTGTCGTAGTGATTAAAGAGGAGGCCCTGCACATAGATAAGACAGCCAAAGATTGAAGGCTATTGACTGCTGAGGGTCTACTGAATAGAGGAGAGCTCAAGGAAAGTCCCTCATCTTCCATGGCCATGCACAAGAACTCTCAGTAAGTCACTGAGGTATAAGTGTTGTTTGTTATCACAGCAAAGCCTAGTTCTATTCTTACTAATATAGAGTGAAAGTGGGGGGAAAGGAGGAAAGAGGCTAAAGAGTGTAACAAAGTTGAGAAAAGGAGATTTTTGGTTTTATTCTTGAATTTTAAATTTTTGTGGTGGATGAGATCCAAGCATGTTTATTAGAAAACTGAAAGAGCCACTATAAAGGAAGAACCTGAGGATGATAAAGCAATGTCCTAAAGAGAACAGAAGATACGGCAACACATAAGCCATGAGCCCTTGCCCTTCATCTAAGAAAGGGGTAAAACTCCAGACTCAGGAGGAATGCCCGGCAGCCTGAGTTAGAGAGGAAGTTGAGGGAGCCCACTGTCATCGGCCCACGCACTTGACTTCAGAGACAAGCAAGCAAAGACTGGAATTTGGAATCCCTGGTGTGGAGCAGTTTCAAGGGATGACGAGCGTCTAAGACTGAAATAACCATGCGTGCGATGATTGTCTTTGCACATCAGCCTCCTGGCAGCTGTCCATGTAAGATGACTGGCAAGGACTGGTACAGACTGTATTTCACTCTTTTGGTTTAAATTCTATAGGCATTCCTTAAACAGAATCCACGTTATTTAAAAATGAAATACATGCCCAGAAAGGGTTAAAATTACTCCTTTTCTTGGTTCTTGACCCCCACCCCCACTGTTTGCCTATGTCCTTTAACTAAATTAGTTATTCCATTGACAGGCCAGTGCTGGTCCCCACACAGAATAACACATGCTGTGCTCTCTTTGTACGTATACTGATGAACTTTGACCACACATCCTCTGCAGAGAAGGAACTCGTTCCCAAACAACTGAACTTAGCCAAGGATTCAGGGTTCATCTCTACTGTGGCCTACTTTTATTAGATAGGCTGCTGGAGAAGCAGAGAAGTCAACTTAGTTATTATTTCTTTATCCCCAACTATTCTTTTCATCTGCTTAATATTATTCTAAGACTCTGTTTCTACAAATGAAAATTTGGGTTAAAACCAGTATTCACTCTCCTTTACCCATCAGCCATTGCTGTATCTGGGCTGAGTATGTCTTTTTACAATGTCTCTTCTCCAGGCACCTTTCTTTGATTTAAATCAGTAGCCAACGAACATTTTCAGTAAATTTCAGTAAAGCAGATGGTAAATGTTAGGCTCTGTGGGCCATAGCCTCTCTGTTGCAACTACTCAACTTTTCATAACACAAAAGCATGACACCTACGTGAATGAGCATGTTTTGAGTTGCAATATGTGAATGAGCATGTTCCAATAAAACTTTATTTACAAAAACAGTCCGTGGGCCCACGAGCTAAATAAAAACCATTTAAATCATGGGCCAACCATGGTTTAAAGCATGGATTAGCAAGAAGGTGTCAGTTGAAGTGACAGATAAAAACAAGTCTTTTAATGTGTCTACAACTCTTTGAAGGAAAAAAATAAAGCATCTTGTTGGGCTCTTATTTCCTCTGCAGACAATACTATGTTTTTTTCCCCCTTCTGAAACATTGCATTTTAAGTTTCTAGGTACTCCCACCAACACATTCCCGCCCCCCCCACACACACACACAAAGTTGAGAGGAGCATTAGAATTTAATTCAGAGAAGAGAGAGTTAAATGGCTAAAAATTGGAGGGTGAAAAGTATCACTTGTCTGCAAACACAGCCTCTTGTTTAGAAACTGATTTACCCAGACATTGAATTGATTATAAGCTATGGAGAGTAAAAACAAATTTGCTGACCTTTATTTCAGAGATCAAAGGTTGAATTTATACCCTGTAGGATGGTTCTGTTAAATTACTCCCAAGCTGCCTGGTGACATATCTTCGAAAAATATTTCTCTCCAACTTTATCAAGTGTTCTTTGTGTTCTGAAAACATGATTTGAAGTCCCAGCTGGAGCCGAGATTTCATGAGTCTTAGATAGCTGAAATTCTTCTCCAACTATATCCAGAGACATATGGTTAGTTGGGATAGATATTAATTGCAGGGGCTAATATCTCTGAGTTTAGTTATTTATTGGAGACTGAAATTAACATTTTATGCTTGATAATCAAGAATTGCATGAACCACACAAAGATAAAGAGCTAAAATTGTCTATTTTGATGTCCTTGAGGTTGGATTGAATAAATATGTCTCAGATAGTAATGCCTGGCAATGACTGAGTGTTCCCAATTTCTTTGCCTCTAAGCAATATCTCAGAGCAGAACCCTAAGAGTTCAAAAGTTAAAACTTCACACAATTAGTGAAAAACAATAACAGTTTTAAATTTTTTTTTTTTTAGTTGTAGATGGAAACAACATCTTCATTTATTCGTTTTTATGTGATGCTGAGGATCAAACCCAGTGCCTCACATGTGCAAGGCAGGCACTCTACCATTGAGCCCCAGCCCCAGCCCCCACAATAATATTTTTTAAATAAAGCAAATTTTCTGTCTCTTTAATTGTAGCTTAATCAAAACCTTCTAATAGCAAGAGTTCACAAAATTCATTCCATGACAAAGTTTCACCAGTTTTTAGTAAGATGAAAAAAAAATAGAATGCTGGTCATAAGTATTTTATATAAGTTAGTGCATTTCAGTCAAAAGACTATCCTTGTGTCTGAAAAAAAGACCTCTCTATTTGTATGTTAAATAATTAAATTTCACTAATTTTAATTATATAGTTATATAAATATTTATATTTACTTAGTAACATAATATGTTAGCAACTCTATATTAGTCCTTAGTTATTTTAAACCATAATTCTACTAGCTAATGAAAAGAAAATTGAGACTAGTGAAGGATATTATTGAAACTTTAATTTCTTCCTTTTGCTGCCTCAATAGGGAGTAACAAATTTGGATTTTCATTCCTCTAAAGAAATGTATGTCACTATAAGCCCCTAAGAATCTGAAATGTAAAACAACAATAAGTTCAAGTTTTTGTCTTTGGGGAACATGTGTGTATACTGTTGAAGAGGTCTCACCGCTGAGGTAGTAGGAGGTAGATATTCGTATACATTATTTGTTGGGTGTAGAAACTGAAGATTGTTTTTTCTGACTCTAAGAGAAATCTGCACAAATGCCATTCCTTTGACATCTTGACCACACTTTCTAGCCTATGATAGGAATGCCTGAAGCAAACAAATGGTGATTTAGTCATTATAGCCAGTAAGACACCTGTCAGGTGACCTTGGATTTGTTCTTTATCCTCACCAAAGTTTAGTTTCTTAATCCATAAAGGGAGATAACATTATGTCCAACTTCATGGTAGTAGTAGAGGATTAATGAGATAATAGATAATATATACTTTAGTTACTTAACATAAAACAAGTTCCCAGTGGATGGTCTCTGTTATTATTTTAATTATGTATATTTTCATCTCTTTTTGTGTGGGGGGAGAGGGGGGAGGGGATTGAACCCAGAGACACTTTGCCAATGAGCTATATCCCCAGCCCTAAGTATTTTTTATTTTGAGATAGGGTCTCCTTCAGTTGTTTAGGGCCTCACTAAATGGCTGAGGCTGGCCTTGAATTTGCAAACCGTGCCTCAGCCTCCCAAGTTGGAATTATTTTCCCATTTTGTGAAGTTACAATAGAAATAAAATTGCGCAGGTATTTTTATCAGCTAGTGCCCATCAAGTGATTGGAAGCTTTCTGCTACCATAATCTTTTGTCTTAGAGACTCCACATCTCCTCAAATAGGGTGATGCCATCTCGGGAGCGGGAAGTACTGAGGGGTTAACAGTATTGCTAACCCTCTCACCAAGTGAGAGAAACACAGCAGCTGAGGACAAGCCCAAAGGGCCAGGACTCCCACATAGAGCATTTATCTTTTTCTTTATCATATGAAAATGCCACCTCACTCACCATGACTCATGGCAGAACTCATTTTTCTTGGAGTTGAGTGAGTAGTGGATCCAGGTAAAGAATCCCCTTAAAGCATAAATTTGGTGGGAATAGGGGTGGGTGGGGATAAACCTGTGTGAAAATTATTGAAAGCAAATTCTCTCTCTCTCTCTCTCTCTCTCTCTCTCTCTCTCTCTCACACACACACACACACACACACACACAAAACAGCCATTGACATATACATTTAAAATTGCATATAACTTGGAGGAGTCGAGAGAACTCCATGAACCCCAATTAAGAACATTGTCTGATGTTGAAACTAACAACCACCAACCTATATGTCAGTTATCACATCTTCTTTAGACGTAAGGAGCCAAAACCACTCAAAGCCCAAGAAAGAAGTAAGATTCTTTCATGAGCAATTTATCCTAGAGATAGAGTACCCCCTCTGCCATAACACAGGAGCCTCTTAAGCATCTTGGAGTAAGAAGTCCTGCCAGACCTCATAGCCAGGGCCTGAATCTGGAGTTTGGAAACCATTCCTTCTATTTTTCAAGTTGTTTATCATATCATCTCATGCTTTCATTCCTCTGTTGCCAAGCTCTGAAGATATCCACCCAAATTCATATGCTGAAGCTTAATTGCCAATGTGATAGATAGTACAGCTGACCCTCTGAATCCATGGGTTCTACGTCTGCAGATTCAATAAACCATGGATACAAAATACTTGGGGGAAAAAATGCCTGTAATGAACATATACAGACTTTTTTCTTATCCTTATTTCCTAAATAGAACAATCTATTTACATGGTATTTGCATTTTGTTAGGTATTATTTGTAATCTAGAAATGATTTAAAGTGGGCTGAGGATGTGGCTCAAGCGGTAGCGCGCTCGCCTGGCATGTGTGCGGCCCAGTTCCGATCCTCAGCACCACATACAAACAAAAATGTTGTGTCCGCTGAAAACTAAAAAAAATAAATATTAAAAAAAAAAAAAACTCTCTCTCTCTTTCTCCCCTCTATCTTTAAAAAAAAAAGAAAGAAATGATTTAAAGTATATGAGAGGATGTGTGTAGGTTATATGCAAACACTATGCCATTTTATATCAAAGACTTAAACATCCAAAGATTTTGGTATCCACAAGGGATCCTGAAACCAAACCCTTGTATTAAGAGGTGAGGCCTCTAGGAGGTGATCAAGGGTTAAAGGCAGCTACTTCACTTGCCATGTAAGAGCTCTAGAAGAAGATGTGTGAGGTAGAGTCCTCGCCAGACAGTAAATCTGCTAGTCTTCAACTTGGATGCCCAGGCCTCTAAAACTATAGAAATAAATAGAAATAAATTTCTATCATTTATAATTTAGCCGTCAAAAGTTATTTAATTACGACAGCCCAAACAAAGCAAAACTCCCTTTGTGCATCTACTCTGTTTTTATTCTCTCTCTCTCTCTCTCTCTCTCTCTCTCTCTCTCTCTTCTTTCTGAGTGCTCATTTGGGACATGGCACAATATAGCTAATTTAGCCCCTGTCTCCATTTTCTCCCATTCAAGTATTTATACCAACTGGAATGCTCCTTTTTGGGATTTAAAACTCCTAAAAGAAGGGATCTGGTTGTTTTAACCAGGCTATGGCTCCCCTTGGGACCAGATTGTCTTAATCATTGGAAGCCATAGCATGGGGAGTGCGGGGGTTCTCAAGTGTGCAAACATGGCCACCCAGACCACTCATTCAGGTCACGATGGGGTATAGCAGTAGAAAATGGGTCTATTGTGTGCCTGGTCTCTAGGAGAACTAGAAGATGAATGGATAATGGTCCTTTGCAAATCTATCCCCACCATGGAAAAGAAAACTAAAAGCCATGTATACATAGAAGGTACATATTCCTTTTTTTTTTTAGAGCAACATATAAATTCCTGGTTTCACATTATGTCCAAGTCATTTGGGAAACACGTCCAACAGTGGTTTGTGCCTGTTCCATACTTGTTTTATTTTATTTGGCAGCAAAATGTAGATCGTGTTTCGAATAAAAGCCCAGTTCTTTCCTTTATACGTTTCATTAAGCATTATATGCTGTTCCTATCCTCTTTGTCAATAGTCACACCAGGCATGCTTCAAAAACTCCTTTTGTGGGAATATTTTTGCTCATTTCCACGTTATGGTTTTCTTGTAGCCATGGAATAAATCTAACATTTGACATGGGGAGGATTTGGGGAAGATAAAAGTCACTTACCAAATCCTTGTTGGTATCAATGAATTGATAAAATTGCTTTTTCTCCATGCTGTTTAGGGAAAAAAAAAAACTGCTAGAAGCCGAGTGTAGTGGTGCATGCCTATAATCCCAGCAACTGGGCAGGCTGAGGCATGAGGATCATTAGTTTGAGGCCAGTCTCAGCAATTTAGCAAGACCCTCAGCAACTTAGTGAGATCCTGTCTCAAAATAAAAAATAACTGGGGATGTAGCTCAGTGGTAAAGCACCCTGGGTTCAATCCCCAATATAAAAGAGAAAAGAACAAGCTTGTTGGGAAACTTAAACTTGAAATATTTCTAGAAAGGAAAGAAAGAAAAGGAAGGTTAAAGTCTGAGCCAAGCTCTGCCTCTCAAAAACTGTGTGTTCTTAGGCAGGTCACATAACCTTTCTGGGCCACAGCTTTTCATTAATGATGTAGGGGGTGATACTGCCTTGAGCTTGTTTGAGGACACAATGAAATAAAAATGTGCCAGCACCAAACTATATTCATGATTAGAGAAGATGCTTTAAAAAGTGGAAAAGCCTAGTTAAAAATCTCTCCTAAGCTCAGGAAGCTGACCAGTTTCCTTGTTTGCTACCTGACTCTCTTCAGTGGTTTCTGGTGGCCTTGGAGGTGGGTGGATCAGGACCATTTATTAATTCGGCACTGTTCCATTCCCCACAATCCTATAGGACAGATCCTGTCCTATTTGTTTCCCTGCTGGCCCTTGGATCAGTCACCCCAAGGGTGAAATCTCACCTCCACCTCCAATGGTCATTTAAAAAACAAACCAGCCAATATATGTTAACACCTATTGTTCCCCGGGCATGGTGTTAAGCCAGGACTTTACAAGTACTAAACAATGACAGCAATATTCTGGGTGGTCTTTTAAGCATTTACTTCAATGGTGTCATTTGATGGGCATGACAAATATCTGAAATATATAAAGTTTTACTCTCCTTCTTATAAT